CCCCCCCTAGTTTCTCCTGTTAGTAAAACTGATTAGATTAAGATGGTTTTAATTTCAAAAATTTAATGGCTCTTCCGGTTTCCTTCATGAAAACCATTCATACCTTGGGATGAGTTCCTTTGATGGGGCAAGCTGGAAGAGTATGTGGGTTTCACTGATCATAAAATGGGAACTCAGATTGAGCTGCTGGGATACACACGAGAGAGACTCCCTGGAGTTGGAGATTTTGATGTGTTGAAAGCCACAGTAGTGGGCTGCCTGACCAAGGGACCCGTTTCCATTAAGTCAAGTCACGGTAAACCTCAGCATGTCTCTGGACAGTGCAAACGGCTAATATATTGGCTACTCTAACCAGAACGTTGGAGATATGAGCCTGCCCAAGAGGCACTTTGGGAGAAAGGCCTTAGTAGTTTATTTCTGAAAAAAACTATCAGCCATTGAAAAACTTACTCTGATTCACATGGAGTCATCCTGAGTCAGAATTCATGCGACAGCAACTGTGTTTTAGACCAAGGAAAGTGTATCAATGGTCAGCAAGAGATGAAAAGAATTCATGTGGGTACTATGACAAAACTTCGACGCTCCACGTCAATACAGAGGAAGCTGGCAGCAGCCAGCAAACATTTCAAGCAGCGGGGCAACGCTGGCACTTGGAGGCTAAATCAGGATATTGGGGACTTTGGCCTTTTATAACATACTGAGCGACACTCTTCCAGTCTGACTGGCAGTGCTAGAAACCCAATGCCTGCCCCTTGCAATTGACAGAAAGATAAGCGAGCAGGAGGAAGGAGTAGAAGAGAAAGGAGACCACCACTTTGACGCTCTCTCTTCTGCTGGCCCTCTTTATCAGGGAGCATCAGTGTTCTGTATAATTCTTATGAAAGTTCCCAGTCCATAGAGCATCGAGCATAGGTTGCCCTGCTCTTTCCCATCATCCTCCATGCTGAGCATCTTGAATGCTCTTTACCGTTCTGAGAGTTTGGCTGAGATAATACAAGTTCGGGCAAGAAGCTTTGCACCCAAAGGTCTATCATGGGTCCTTATCAATTACCTACCCGCCTTCTTCCGAATACTTATGCCCAAAGGCCAGGATGTCCGATGCTCGGCCGCTCCCATCACAGACAACAACAGGCACGGGAGGGGTGTCTCGAAGGTATTCCAGAACAATGGAGATCACATTGGGTCCTCCTTCCACAATGAGCGCCACCACCGGCACGCCTTGGCCGATCCCTGCATTCAAAAAGGAAAAGAAACAGGAAGAAAGAGAAAAGAACACAAAGCCAGCGAAACAAAAAAGAGAAACAAAATTACAAACTCAAATTACTGAGCACCAGGGAGGCAGCGCACATACAATCCTGAGCAAAAAATCGCACAGACATCCTTGTAACAGAATCAGCCACTCGTCTTTGATGTTGCCCTCCCTCAATAGTCCCCAGGGGGGTAGGGCCAGCTAAGGCACCGATTACCATACTTCACAGGGCCGAGGCAAGGATAAGGAGGGGAGAAAGGGGTGGGTGGATAGATAGAGCATTGGCTCAGGAGCCCAAAGATAAGAAGCTGAAGGCAATTTTAAGCAAGTTTTTAGCCATCCATTGCTTTGGTTTCCTTACTTGCAAAATGAGAAGCTTAAAAAAAATTCTCATCTACCCGAAGATATCAGAGTGAAGTCCCTTTGGATTCAAATATTAGCTGGTGTTGGCTTATTTCTTTCTCATCATACATCGTCAGCTTGATCCTTAATACACAGCAGTGATGCTGCCATAATAAATTATATATCCTATAATACATTATATAGTCCTATGATAAATGATCCCAGAC